GAGCGCAGTTGTGATCATGTGTAGCCAGTACACCACCTCACAGAGGCTGCTGGCAGAGCACTGTGAAGGACCACATGTATCTTCCAGTTCCCTGACCCTCACATCCATACTGGCATGAAGGAGTTCTAACGGGGCTCAGGCCTGCCTTTGTTGTTTTTCTTCACTTGAGAAGAAACATGAGCCCAGCATGTCGTCTGGGCTGCTTTTTCATATTTGGACCCTGTCATTTGCTTTATGGCCTGTGCTGAGTAAGGGGCAGTGAGCAGATTCACCCTCATGACATCAGCTGTGCAAAGCTTTTATGTTTTGCCTGATTTGGCTTTAAAGCTTCCTGAGAACTCAAAAGCCTCTTGTTGCCCAAGGTAGGTGTGTCTTAATGCAGCAGCGTAGTAAAGAGACAGGCGATAAACCAAATACCAAACAGTATGTCAGCTGAGAGCCATGAGTGCTATATGGGCAGAGGTGTTATCTCTTTGCTGGTGCTGTGTGTGAGTGTGTGTGTGTGTGTCTGTCTGTATGTGTGTGTCTGTCTGTCTGTGTGTCTATGTGTATACATGCATATGTTTGTATCTCTGTGTATGTACAGCATGTGTGTATATGTGTGTGTGTGTGTGTGTGTGTATATATATATGTATATATATATATTGTGTGTGTCTCTCTGTGTGTATATATACATGTGTGTACATGCATATGTGTATCAGTGTGTATATACGTGTGTGTGTGTGTGTGTGTGTGTGTGTGTGTGTGTGTAATGTGTATGCCTGATGCCCGAGAAAGACAGAAGAATGTGTCAGACAGACCCTCTGGAATTGGAGTTACAGACAATTGTGAGCTGCTGTGTGGGTGACAGGAACTGTGCCTGGGTCCTCTGAAAGAGCAGCACTTACTCTCAACTGCAGAGCCAACCTCTCCAGCTCCAAAATATGAAGATTTTAGAAGTAATGATGTTGGGTAGTCTTTAATGACAGGACCTTTCCCAGTCCAGCTATCCTTGGTTGGCCCAGGCTCCTCATGTGCCAAACACTCAAAGGTCATGAAGATCAATCTGAGATAGTAGCTCTGAGTTTGTGTCTCACATAAATGAAAATTTAAGACAAGGACTCCTCTGGGAATTGCAAAGTGGAAGCTTTAGTAAATGGAATTACAGAAAAGTGATAAATTGAGGGAAAGTGGGAGGAGAGGAGGGAATAGGAACTGGGACTGACATGTAAAGCAGCTTGTTTCTAATTTAAATTAAAAAATAGAAAAATTAAAAATAAATAATTTTTAAGGAAATTGAGGAAAAGGGAAAGGAATTTTCCAGAGTGGAGGGGTTTCTGAGAAAGGAAAAGTCACTGAACCCCTTTGTCAGGATTACAGGGCCACAGCAGAACCTAGACAAAGGCTAAGGAGGTGTGCTCTGCTGAGGCTGCTTAGGTTTCTGGGCATCATGGGAAAGGAGGGACCACGTGTTCTATGCCTGGAACCCCTAACCCTACCAGGGAAATGATGCACTGTTCACCTGATACCCACAGTTATAGGTGGTTGCAACCCTGTCCATCCATCTCTAAGTGTTTTGTTAGTATCGACCTTGACTGTCAGCCAGCTGCTAGTCACTTGGCCAGCATCTCTGCCCTCCAACCTTAAAGGTGTCTCAAGTGCTGTCAACTAATCACTCTCTGTTCTCATACGTACTTGACTAACTCATAGCTGTACCATGTCAGAGACTTAATGCAGCCACATGAGGTAGCCACAGCCTTTCTTGGTTACCCCATATTTAGATCCTTGCCTATGGTATGGCTCCATAGGCTGAAGCTTCTGTCTAGAACCAGCTTTACAGTTTAGTCTGCTACCATCAGCTGCATTAGAAGTAAGACTATAAAGACAGAGATGTCTTACATATGTCACTCGGTGGAGGTGGAGAGCCAACTTGTGGTCATAGCCCCAGAACTGTGTCCCTCCTCTTATTCCCTTATCTCACACCCAGAAATAAACTCTCTTATTCAGCTTCCGAACCCTTCATGTTAACCCTTAATCTTCCCTTTAAATCCAGCCTCTGCTTTCACTGCAAGATCTGGGAGCTGCTTCAATCTCCACCAAGGGCTCCCTCAATACCAAGGGAGCAAGTCCTCCCCCCACAATACCAAGGGAGCATCTTCTGCATCCATGTTTGTGTCCATATACCTGGGTTACTTCCCCCCCCAAGAATAATTAAATTGGTTCACTAAGTGATTCCTCCATCTCTCTCTCCCCGTTTATCAGGGTATTTTGTTCATTTGGATTTCTGAACCCTGACGGTCAGGATGATTACTTGTTAGTAGCTTCTTGAAGAGGGCCAGACAGCTGCCCATTAGTGTGTGACTACAGGCAGGTGTGGAGCCCACATCTCCAGAGTCCAACCAATGCACAGAAAGAAAGCTTACATCATTGTCCTGCTAGAAATCACTGTCAGAAACATTTATGGTCACACTGGCAGCATCTCCTGGCTTCACAACTCAGTGATGTTGCCACCTGACACCACACCACCCAACCACAAGAGACCAAAGAGGCTTAATCACCATGGTGGGTGATAGAGGACAGGGGCTGGGGGCGTTGATTTGTGGAAGAGAGAAACAAAGAATGAGTTGAAAGAATAAGAACTATCATTTTATATAAATAGCTAAAGCCATTCAGGATTCAAAATATAATACTCCCCCTCCCCCGGCCCCCCAATAAAAGGTAAAAGATACATTGACATTTTAATTCCCAGGACTTTACAATGTGAGCTGTTGAGAATAAGATAGTTGAATATTAAATTAAATCAAAAAAGAGGAGGGTGGGCCCCTTGACCAGAATGACCACAGTCCTCTAAGACTAGGACCTTGTGAAGAGACAGACACAAGTGCTTGAGGTTGCACAGTGATGGTGAAGTTGGACCCTGGGCTGATACACACACAAGCAAGCCAAAGAGCCCCAAAGGTAGCCAGAAAGCCTTTAGAAGCTGGAGAGAGACGAAGAAGCTCTGGGTTTCAGAGGAGAATGGCTCTAAACTCAACGTGGCTTCAGACTCCCAGCCTCCAAGACTACAAAACAACACATTTCTATGGTTTGGAGCCACTCGGTGATGGTGCCTTTGATACTGCTGCAGTAGGAAGCTGATACTGTGATCCGAGCAGTGGACTAGACTCTGGGGAATATAGCCAGGATTTTATTTTATCTATCCCCCCCACCCCGCGCCCGTGCCGTCTACATGCTCTTGAACAACAGTGTAACCCAAGAATGGATCTTCATGTGCGAATCCAGCTTTCAGATGCCACAAAATTCTGACCTGTGTGCTTAGCTTTTTATTCTTTGTTTGGTGCTCAAGAAGTGGTAGCTGGAAGGAGGGAACTGCCATTTCTGTCTCTGTCCCCAAATTAAAAAGCTAGGTAACATGAGCACGTGCAAAGCTCAGTCTGTGTCTCCCAGGGATGATGGCTGTGTTATGCTGCTCTTACTAACCAGCCATCATGGTGTCTGTGTGGTTAATGCGGAGGAAAAGAAAAATGAGTTTAAAATTCACTGACGTCACCATTGTTATTAGATATCTGCTTTCCCCTGCCATTTAAAACTGTGTCATTAGGCACATTTGCCTGAGGCTAAGAACAACTCCGTGTCACAAAATCAGCTCCACTGAAATAGAAAAGCAGCTCTGCACCCTCCTGATAGTTCTTGGAGAATTAGAGACCTCCTCATAGTAGATGAGTTCAGCGTCTTAACAGCCACAGCAGGTGTGATCCAGAGGGAAGAGTCCAAAGAGGGAAGAAGCACATACTGTCCTTCTGGGGAGTTCTGAGTTGCCAGAGCGTCAGTCACCAGGAATAGGTGATTCTTGCAGAAATCTGCCCTCCCTTCCTTTTCCCGAATTACATTCTGTGAAATTAACTGATTTCTCTTTCCTTTAGTTTTCTAGCCATTTCTTTCTGTTGCCACCATACAGTTACTACTGAAATCACCAGTGCCATTTACAAAGAGTGCCGTGGGTCAGTCTGTGTGCAGGTGAATAGTAACTGATGTGTCCAGAATGCCCATAATATTGGCATTTGTATCCCCGTTGATTAATGAAGATGGCATTCACAGGGGCTCCCTTATTTCAGACATCACCGAGCAACATCAGATCATCTTAGTATCTCACTTGCCCCTGAAACTTCAGTGGGAAAACTGGAAACTCACAAAGCAAATGAATAAAGCAATTGCCTGCCGCCATTTGTTCCTGTGACAGTGTCTGCACAGATTACCCATTATTTTTCAGATCTTCCTTATACTTGAATGTGGGGAAGTTTCTTGCCAGAAAATGCAGGGTGCTGCTAGGCATTGCAATAGATATCACCTGGCATTGATGCAGACATGCTGGGGGTCACTGTCTTGACTGCTGTAATGAGGAGGGAAGACCCAGCCCAGCTAACTACAAATTGCCAGTGTCACCTGGATCTGAGGCCGATTGGCAATAAATAGGATTCCTATCTCTGGTACAGAATTATACAAACTCATTAAGAACATGCATCAGCTAGAATGTTATATGAAACTGTGCCTGTCAGTCAAAAGTGGGAGGGACTTGTAGAAACTAACTTCCTTATTTCACTTTTATACCTCACAGAGTCAACAATTTCAAACATACTCTCTCATTCTGAGATCAGTAATGGAAACTTCAAAGAATCCATATGTCCAATTATTGATCTCAAGCATTTACAGAATGGATTAGTATTCTTCAAGCCCCTCCTCCTGCAATATCTGACAGAGCTCAGTTCAAAGTAAAAAAAAAAAAATCTATGTATTAATTTGCACATATTTTCCCTTTACTTTATTTTTGTTATTTTTATGCAAATTGGGTTTTGTGATACAGTTGAAATGTGTTTTTGGCTGGGATGGAATCTGGAAAGGCACTGGGGAACTCTGGAGTTTGTCAGTACTGGGATTCTAAGTCTTGTATGCATGTTGTGTTGTTGTGTTGTGATCTGTCTGTCCATCTGTCTGTCTGCCTGTTGGTTTGTTCTTTTCAATAGACCAGGCATTTGGAAAGACCTGAAGACCATGGGCTCCGTGTCCCTCTCTATATTCTTCATCACACTGCTCGTTCTGGGTAGACAGGTAAGACACTCTTTCTGTCATCTCTTGAGGTGCAGATCTTCGCTGTAGCCATGTTTGTGTTAAAAAAAAAAAAGTTTGAGAATCAGGATCATCCAACCACTTAAGAGAAAAGTAGGCACCTGAGGTGTAAACACCAGAGATTACGAATCAATTAATTTTGCAAACAGCTGGAACTATGGGGAACTAACCTTGCATGGGTCTGTCACAGTGAGCATCACACTTCTGTTAATAGTTGGTATGGCACCTTCACTCCGTTTGCAATCATTCCTCAAACATGGTTCTCTGCTAAAAATTGTATCTTGTGGTGCAAATGAAACTATTGCTCATTTTTAGGGCCTCTGCCTGCTCCTGGTCTCCCAGGAGAGGCTATCAGTAGTGGAGTTTAAGGATTACCACGCTTATGCCTGTGTACAAAGTCAGGCACTAGTGACTGTAAGACTTATCAGAAGCCAGGCAGCTCTGTCTCCAATATCTGTTTTAAAGCCTCTGATATTGGCAGTGTGAAGCCAAATGGATGGTTTGAATTAAAAGGCAGCGAACTTTTAGCATGGGTGTGTCATGAAAAGGCATGTGAAGTCTGTGGCAAATGCCTACAGACTTACTGCCTTCTGGTCTGGCTTCCAGTCCCCCTACTGAGTAGCCATTAGCAACTGCACAGTTGGGCAGAGTCTGTTTCCTTGGCTAGCATGCCACATCCGGAACTGTCCTCTAACGCCTATGCTTCCTGGGGTCTAGCAGTGTGGCAGTCCCTGGGCTCAGCTCCCCTCCCTAAACCCTATGTGAGCCCGTTCCTCCCACTTCAGCCCCTCCGTGTCTGCATTTCTCCATCCTGCATTCTTTGGCTTGCCCTTGTAACACCCTGTCTGCTTTAGGGGCTCATTCCTTTCCTGCTTCTCCTGTGACTTGACCATTTGTTTGTTGCTTGTTTCTCACTACTGACCAGCTTGCTGCTCTCATTCATGGAGCAGCCATACCCCTGCACTTCCCAGGTTATCCAATCAATTACACAGAAAACAAATGAGCTTCCTTGTGCAACAACCCCAGGTGGTCATTCTTTAGGAAATAGCAACCCCTCTTCAAGTTACCTGCTTCTCCATGTCATGCCTTTGGTGCTATGTCTGAAGTCTCTCTTTAATAATCACTTGGATCCCGCCTCCTATCACAGAGTATTTTAAGATGCTAGAAACAAATTGAATCCCATCTGCTCACCAATTTTCAATAGCCAGGGGGGTGGGCAGCATTCAGCACCACTCTGTGATTGTGGTCAATTGATGGTTGATTGACAGTTAATACTCTGTAATAGAATTAAAGTAAGCGTTCAATATTACGGTCAGCCACTGGCATGATTGTGTTAAGGAGTCTTTATAGGAAGTCATTCCTTTTTTTCTCCTTAACATGATGATGCATACTCTCTACATGTGGGCACCTGGAAAAGGTATTGCTTCCTAAAGGAGTGAAGTGATTCTTCGTGGTCACTTAATGCAGCCTCTGCATGAGACTCGTGGGAAGCACCATGGTGTGCCAGGAGGCTGGGCCTCAATCCAGAACCATCCCAGAGATGATTCATTACAGAAGAGTCATCTGGGATAGGAAAGGATGTGCTTCCGCACCTTTTCCAAATCACAAATACATTACAAACCACTGCCTCTGCTTATGTTAGGTCTCCAAGGGCTGTGGCATCCATACCCCTGGACTGATTACTCCCTAGCTTGTTTATACACAGAAGTGTTGGCATTGTGCAAGTTGCATTCCCTGTTGTGTGGTCTCCTTTGCCCTTGACCAACTTCTCTTGAAGCAACAGAGATGTTTTGCTTTCTGAGCAAATCAGCAGCCTAAAGATCACTCTAGTTATATAAGCTTAAGAAAAGCATACACCCGGTTCGAAAGGTAGCTCAGGAGTAAAAGATAGTTTTGCTTTTACAGGGCATCCAGATGTAGTCTCCAACACATATGTGGTGGCTCACAGTCATTCATACCTCTGGTTCTGGGGGATACGGTGCCCTCTTCGGGCTTCCATAGTCACCAGGCTTGCAATAGTGCACGAACATATTTGTAGGCACACACACATACATATAAAATAAATACATCTAAGAAAATTAAAGAACACGTACCAAATCTCTTGTACAAACACTGTGACATATCCCTTGCCTAGAACAATTTGAGAGATAGTGGCTATCTGAGGAACAGAAAGGTTCCAGAGCCAAACTGTGACTCAGGGAGGCTGGGTGAAATTCCCACAAACCCTTTAGCTATTCTTATCAGCTCTGCCCTCCCCATAGTCACCTAGGCCATGCCTTAGTCCTGGCTCTCTGCTGGATGTCTCACATGGCCATCTCCATGTCTCTACATCAGATCATGTAAAAGATAACATGAGGTTATATGTTAACATAGGTAACATAGATAACATTGAATTTAGAGCCCAACCTAAAGGTAAGTTCATCCACAGATCCCCATCAAATATAGCAACATATGCTCTCTGTCCAAGTAAGCCATAGTCACGGCTCGGGATCTAGGACCTGGAACTGGCCCTTGGGACACTGTTCAATTCATTACAACTGGTTTGACGTAGATTTGTTTTCCTTTTCAACATGAGTTTCTCTTATGAAGAATGCTTCTATATAGAAGAGAGAATATAAAACAGTTTTCATTGCTTGAGAAAGTGGTGCAATAGATAGATGGACTGGTGAATGGATGATAGAGATGCCCCAGAACTTAGGGATACATCAATAGGTGTAGATGATTAACTGATAATTGATAATATAGGTAGATTACATAATTAGCATAAGCAAAAAAGACCTAGAGATGTGATAGATGGTTGGTGGATGAATAGATAGAGAGAGAGAGAGATAGTAGATAGACAGTCTACATTTATAAACAAAAGAAGTTTATTATATATCTCAAAGTTTTAGACATTCGAGGGCAAATCCCTGGCTCCATCTCAGCTGCAGCGAAGGCCATCTTGGTTACATCACATTGTACTGCAAGTATGTAGTAAGAAAGATTATACCACAAAACAGAAAGCTAGGTAGTCTTCCTCACAGTCTCTGCTATGGAGATACACCTCCAGTAGCTAAAGGAGCTCACATCAAACTACCCCTCACATCTTAGAGGTTCCATGCCATCATCACCTCACTCAAGACCACATTTCCAACCCTTGAACCTTCCAGGTATTCATGTAAATCTTACCCAAACTGTAGCAGGAAGATACATAGGTGGACACATAGGTAGCTAGTAGATGACAGACTTATATAATAAGATGCGTAGATACATAGAAAGATGAGCAAATAATCACTATCCTGAAATGCAGATGTTCCCAAATTACCGATGATTTCCTTCCAGCAGGAGACTAACAAAGTGTTTGCCTGTGATGCCCTAAGAGCACCTGAGCGGCCTCTTGCTATCGCTCATGGGAACCTTGAGACTTACAGGCCAACTGCCTGAGCTAGCTGTTAGGAGGTGGTCTCATTCACACTGCTTCCCTTTGTGACTGACTTTGGCTATTCACCTGTGCCTTCATGATACCCCACCATGCCCTGCTTCTTCTATTCTAGCCTAAACCAACTGCACCACCCCTTTGCCCCCAGATTCCAAACATATGAGATAAAAAGGCTTTTCCAGTCGGTGAATGACACGATTGTTATGAATGCGGTGTGTGAGAAATTCGATTTTAAACGTAAGGCTTTTAATAGCTTAGTTTTTGAAAATGCCTCACTGTGTGAAGTAAAAATAAACACTACACCAAAGAAGGAGATGCTTCTTAATATATCATGTGTAGTTTAAGTCACACTGCTTAATGAAGGAGCATTGTCAGGCTGAAGTGTGTGTGTGTGTGTGTGTGTGTGTGTGTGTGTTGTAATTTTTATAATTAATCAAATCAGTTCAACAGCAAATGCTTAGGTTCCCCCTCCTTTGCATTTATGTGTTGGTAACTCATTCTCTGCACTGAAAGTCATCCTCTCCATAAAGTCCATCTTTGACAGAATGTTTCACTCAAGGCTATTTCACTACACTCAGGAACTGGGATCCCAGAGGACACAAAATGATGGCAAGGACAGAGAGAGCCTTTGTCAGCTAATAGGTGTCTCCATTTCTACAGCAGTAATAATGACTGGCTCATATATTTTATATTATAATACAACATATGACATGAACATACATGTTTTGCCAGCAGCCCCTTTATGAATTCAGTAGCATCAGCATACACTCTTATCTACAATATTCTGTCATTCTCAAAACACAGGGCAGTGCTAAATGAAAAAATTCCAGATTTTATATGTAGTTGTGGTCAAAGAGACTGCTTTGCAAATTCCAAGGATGAATTGCCAGTTTTTTTTTTCCAGAAAGCAAGTTGCATTTTTAACATTAGGTCTCCAATATTAGTTAAAAAGGAAAGAGTTTCTGTAGAAATCCATAGCTACAGTCTCTTTAAAGTATAATGAAGTACAAGTAAAACAATTAATTTGTATACATAAAATTTCAATTTTTTCCTCTACATCACTCTAAGGGTACAAACATAAATTGCTACAAATTTTACGTGTTTCCTGTGTAATACAAATCATTGTCTACAAGCATCCTGGATTTCTTACTCATTCATTACTTTTATGTGACTGTGCTGCTCCAAAAAGTAATTTGAGCTGACTATCGGCAATCTACAGGGGAGCTTGCAGTCCTACTAACTTGGAAGCCTCCAGAGCCCCTAGTTCCCTGTCATTGAGGCTCACCCACTCCTCAGTCTGTTCCTTGCAAATCTGTGTTATACGGTGATTGGTAGCTGCTTGGGTGGGGCAGAGGGCTCTATATAGGGGGAGGGTGTCGGTTCTGTTTTGTGTTCTCTTTATGGCCTCCACTCTGGCAGGACAAGATGCCTATTGTTTCTTCACCTCTGTGTCCTCTTGTAACAGAGTGAATATTACTGTAGGTTAGACTTCTTATGGAAGAACAAATTCAAAAAAGAGCGGGAGGAGATAGAAACCATGGAGAACCTGAACCGAGTGCTGCTGGAGAACGTGCTTCCCGCGCATGTGGCTGAACACTTCCTGGCCAGGAGCCTGAAGAACGAGGTCAGAAGGGCAGGCTGGGGCTGGTTGGGGCCACGGTGGGCTGGGGGGTCTGATGGCCTCTCGAAGGGCCATCATACACCCTATACTGGATATGCAGTATGTGCACAGTCAGCCTGACGTGTTCTGTTTCAAGAGGATAATGACTATTCTGAGGTATCAGGGCAAGCTAAGAAGAGATGGATCTTTGTTGCTAGAATGCTTGCCTGGCATTCTTGAGGTCCTGAGTTCATAGACATGATGACTTGCACTTGAGATCTCAGTGTGTGAGAAGTAGAGGCAGGGGGACCATATGCTGAAAGCCATCTTCAGCCACACAACAAATTCCAGGCTATCCTGGAATAAGGAAGGGACTGCATAAGACTGCCTTCCAATATCTAAACAATAATGTTAAAAGAATTTCTTCCAGACTGGAGAGATGACTCATAGATAAAGGTGATTGCTATCAGGCCTAATGAATGACTTGAGTTCATTCTATGGGGCCCACATGGTGGAAAGAGCAAGCCGGCTCCTCTAGTTGTCCTCCAGCCTCCATATGCTCACACTGTGGCATGCACAGAGGCACACGCAGGTGCAAACCTAAATGCAACTTAAAATTTCTTCCTTGATCATGTAAAGTCCTGAATGTGTACTAAGAGGTTTAACATTCCCAAATAAGCCCCCTAGTTGGCCGCTTCCCTCTCTGTGTCCAACCATGAAGGACACTTGCCTCACCAGCCCACAAGTCCAGAGTCCAAGCCATGAGGCCCAGATAAGCCAGAAGTGCACACGGCACTGTTTCCATGCAGTAAGGTTTCTTGGAAGACTATCAAGGCCTTGGAATTTCAGAGACAATGAGCTAATCTATGAGCTTGGTAGGTTTAAGAGCTTTCCATAGAAGCACACACAGACCTGAGTCTGCCCATCTTGAATAGAGGGGAATAGACATTTGAGAATACTTAGCAGACTTGGAAAGATTGTGTTGTTGAAATGTGGAAGTGGCTTGCTGAAAAGCAAGAGAAAGCAGTCAGATCTACAGTTGGGCTTAACTTAAAATGTTAGGTTAGTCTGAAAGCCGGCTGAGCAGTCTTCTCCATAGGAGGTTTGTGCTGGGGTTTGGGGGAGGGTTATGAAGGCAGCAGAGGGAAGCTGAACAGATGAACTCATTACCAGATAAACCCAACCTGGCTGAACAGGCTGCCATTCGTCCTCTTGTGAGGACGCTTGCAACAGCTTACACCCAGGCTGAGCGTGGACTGTAGGTCTTAGTAATAGACATTCCATGGCCCTATCCGCTGCTTTTTCCTTATAATTCTTCCCCGTTCCCCCCATACCATAATTAGTGTTGATTTTACTTCAGATTTAACGATGCTTAATGTATTACATTCACACCCAGAGAGATGTATCCTTAGTAAAATGAACTTATAATTTACAAATAGAATAAGATTTGATGTGGAGAGTGTTTTTAAAAGCCTGAAGGACAGCAGCTGAGAAGCCCAGGGGTGCAGGGTGTAGCAATCCTGTCAAAGTACTCATTCCTCCTCGTCACCCGAGTCTCTGACCTAAGCAGCTTTCTCAGAAGCCTATCTACTGTTGGTCACAAGTAGTTAAGTCACTGAACATATTAAGAAGTTGTATTTATTAGTGATATGGACGCCTCTTGTTCCTCTAGCTGTTCCCGGGTTTTATTTATCATTATGTGTTATGTGACTGATGTGTGTGAGTAGATGTGTCATGTGGGCTTATGGGGGTCAGAGGACAGCTTTGGGGAACTGGTTCTCTCCATCTACATGTGTCCTAGAAACCAGATTCATGTCCGCAGGCTTACACTCCAAGCACTGTTACCCACTGACTGTCTCGCTGGCCCTGCTCATTTAGTTCCTAAGTTTAGCCTGCTTCTATCGCCATATACGCCAGCTGGTGCTGTCCTAAATTCAGAAATGAACAGGACAGAATGGCCACTCTTAGCTCCTCTTGGGGACAACAGTCTGTCAACCAGTATCAGGAGTGTGGCTTTTAGGCTCTGGGGAGGCCACTGTAGGGAAGGGATCCCTGAATCTGAAAAGAAAGTGCTAGAAACTAGCTGGGAGATGGAAGCAGCATGTGACAGGGACACATGTCGGGGAAGCTGATGGGCTACATGGAGGGACTGAAGGGCAAACTTGGAAGAGCCATGGTGCTGGCAGGAAGGAGGCCCAGATAGGGAGTCCCTCCCTGATGTATCCCGGGCCAGCGCAGGAGTCCAGCCCCTTCCCTTTCTCCTTCCTGTTTACCCCACGCAAGCATCCAAGCATTGCTCTCTCCTTCTTCAATAACACTGATTGTTTCTGTGTCACTATAAGTGAAATACTAGAGAACAAGTTAAGTGGAAGAAAGATTCCTTTTGGTTCATGGTTTTAAAAGATCCAGTCCATCATTGAGAAGAAGGAAAGGATAAGAGTGAGGAGCCAGAACACACTGTAGCCCCAAGGAGACACTGGCATGGCATACTTCCTCCAGTGGCCCCCCTGATGTTCACCACCTTCCAGGAGTACTAGAATGATCCATCGAAAGAGATTAATCTGTCTGTGAGGTCCGAGCCCTCATGGTCTAATCATCTGACAGCGTCTTTACAGACACAGCCAGAGGGGTGCTGTACTGCTTTCCCAGCTATTTCTCCACCCAGCCAAGTTGACAGTCAGCACTGTCTCTCAGCAGCAACTGGCAAGAGTGAGAGAAGAGAAGGGAAGGCGCCTGGAGCTGTGCAGCATGGCCTTATCTTAGTCCCAATGTTGTCTGTTTCTGCAGCCTTCTTCCAGGTGTTTTCCATGTCATTTATAGAGGGATAAAAGGGTGACTTGCTCTGTAGTTGTGCTGGGGAGTTATGTCATGGGATACTTAGTACTGTGTACGGGGAAGGCAAGCATCTCATAGAGTGTCACATGGGGTCCGTCATCCACCCACTTAAGACCAGAAGCAGGGAAGCAGCTTCTCCATGCCTCTGTGTCATGGTGTGTAGGTGGTTGTTGCATTTGAGGGCAAGTACCGATGTCCTCCCCTACACAATAAGATCCTGGTAAAATGGCAGAGCTTGTCGTCATCACCTGATCAACAAAGGACCTTTGCAGTTTGTCCTTTTTTTCCCCCTACCCATTGCATCTCTATAAAGCAGAATTTAACCTGCCTTCAGAAACTAGGACTCAAGAATTATTTCATCACCGTAACAATACCCTAAAGCCTTTGCTTGGATGAGGAACCCTCACTGTGCCTCCGCTCAGAGTCTGGAAGGGAATGCATGGTTCTGAATCTGGCTTCACAGGCACACATTTGCCCTCCTCTTGAAACTTGTCATCCAATATACCCACCCTGTAGAAAGAAAGCTCATGATGGGCACCAAGGGTTGGGTCCTCTCCACTGTGCAGGCCTGGGTTGTTTCTTGGAAACCCCTTAAACACACACCAGAGCTCACTCTCATCCTTAGATGAGAAGACTGAATTTGTCACCTTGTTGACCCTTTTCCAAGTCCCCAGGTAAAAGGGATTATGTGTAAGTTTAGCTGGGCAGCCTCCCTCAGGGAACCAAGTCTTGATCAGCAGACATTTTGGAGATATACTTTGTAAATGAGAGCCCTTTGAGGACTTCCAGCCCATTGCCCACAGCATTGCTCATCTATGAGAGTGACAGATTGGTTTACACTGCACTTTCAGGAGATACTAATTACATGAGCCCCTAGCAAATAAGTCATTACCTGACAGTATAGGATCATAAACAACAGCCATCACAGTTGGTGTAGCTGCTCCCTGTGTTTGTTTATCTCTCCAACCTCCAGCCCCCTTGGGGGAGGGATGTACTTGGTTGGGCTTGTCTGTGTCCCTAACTACTGAAACCTGGCCATTTCTCGACAGCATGTGTATGAGTGCTTATGTGTATGCATGTTTGTGGAAGAGGGCATTTAAGCAACTCTTGGGTTGTGACACTACAGACATTAATTAGCTCTTGTTTTCCAAAGAAAGCACTGAAGAGTGGGCTGAACCTGGGCACGCTGTACTTGAAACCCATTTATAAGTTTTGACCTGTATGGGACTGAGTGGGAGACTAGACACTGGAGGAGGAGAGGATGGCATGAAATGACATTCATTCTACGGGTATAGTGGGGCCCCTCCCATAGCCTATATCCTGGTACTGACTGACTTGGGGCTCTGAATGGAAGCTCCCGAAGCTCAGGATAGAGACAGTGAGATCCCTGACATTTGAAAATGCCAAGAAGAAGGTATGATTGAGTGACGAGGCTCACAGGGCTGGGAGCTGGGGACTGTAACTAGACAGCCAGGATTTTGGAAAATAAAGAGACTAGGTGTTTCTCAGGGACCAAGGATGAGGATGAACACCTGCAAGGGCTTGTTCTAGACCCTCCTTCACAAAATGCCCTGGATAGGTAAACAGATTCCTCAGAGAACCTGGAAGAATCAGCTGAGAGCACAAGACTGAGAGAATGATGCACTAGTGGCTCACCACAGGGGACAGAAAATGCTCAGTGGAGGGTAAAGGAGTCATCAACAAACCCTCAAAAACATCCACAGGAGGAAAGCCAGGTGTCACTGCCCAGGGAGGGTAATACAACAAAATCCACCTGGACCCAACCTCCTGCTCTCCATCCAAGGTGGTTTGGGAAAGAACATGGCTGGCAGACTAAGGCTGGTCTAGGAAGTATTGGGTAGAGTGAGTGAAGTCTTACTGTACCCTGACACATGGTCAGAAGGTCTAGATTTGATTATTCATTGTCTGGGTAATTCAATTATTAATGAAAGGACTTTTATTACTCCAGTTGATAAAAGATCCATTGGGCTTATCCCAGGCTTTTTGTTCAGCACATGAGCAGAACTTGGTACATTGCAAATTAACAAGGACAATGGTCACAGAAGTGATTTCTTGGTGATAACCCCCCCCATTCTTTGCATTTGTTCAACAGTGTCATCACAGGTATATGCACCTGAGTTTGGTGATACTTTTTGGTGGGTATGCAAGTCACCCATTCCCAGCTGAACTGCAGAATCTTCTCAAGGGTTACCTGCATGTCTCTGTCTGGTCCACAGATACTCTGGAGTGTGCCCAAGCTTAGGATACCCACTGGTCAGAATGTGGTCCTCTCTGGCTCCAGCTGAGAGCTGTCCATAAATTCAGATTATGCTGTCAAGCCTGCAGGTTTAATCAGTGCCAAAGAATGTGGTATTCTCAGCTTACCCTGAGCACTTGTATAAAGATTCCAGATGACTGCTTTTTCAGCAGAGAGTGTGAGTAGTATGCAGTCCAAAAGGCCTACCAGATTGTATGGTCTGCCATGAATATAAAGGTTGGTCCTAAAATGTCTTCCAAGCCAGCTGAAGCCTTATTGGGTCCCTCAAGTCTTCCGAGTCCCACTTGCTCCTGACCTCAGCTGTCCATCAGGGTCACACAGCAGAACATCCCTGGAGCTTTCCAAAGTGATGCAGATTCTCAGAGCCCATCTGAAACTGACGCTCATTTGGTCAGTGAGGAGGCCCAGGTAGAAACCTCATAGCTGGTTTTCTTATGCATTCCTATATGACAGCCACAGCATGAGATGACATGCAGACCAAAACCAAGTCAGAACAATCATACATTCCATCTTGTCCTGCCCCCAGACATCCTCAGGACTGCGGGGTGCGGGGGGAGAGGGGGCGCAGTGAAGAGAAAATGAAGTCACAGGATCCACAGTGGCAGGTGCCTGATTGCAAGGAGCACAGCCCATAGTCGCCTGGCAGACTCTACGTAAAGTATCAGCTAAACCTTCAAGAGGGTAGGCCCTAAGATCAACCTGAGTAATTGCAGCTATGGACAACTAATGCAGTTTCTTTGTGCCCCAGTTGCCTTATCTGTAGGTAGAAGGCAATAACCTAGGCTTTGAGGGATTTCAGTCATGTGTATTAATGAAGATATTGTGTTCAGAGAGGTGTCCATCCTATCATGAAACGGGCACTCAGTCTGTGATGATTGTTCCGCCATCTATGCTTAATTCCCAGGATCACTGACTGCCAATGTACAGAAAATAGTTCCTAGTGTTGCTAAATGTGTGTACCCTTAGCGTTAAGTGGAGAATCAGTGCATCTTTTACAGCTTGTACTAAATGGTATTGACCAAAATGGGCTCCTACCTGTTACCTCTTCTCTGGTTCCCTGACTCCCCAGCAGTAGCCAGCGTCACTGGAACCTGGCCTTGGCAGACTCATCTGTGTCAAGTTGTCTGCAAAGGATATGAAGTTCAGTTCACAAAACAGCTTTGCAAAGAGATCTGCACCACAGGCCAACTCAGCCGCACTGAGTGCAGGGAAGAAAGGAGATCCTTGATGCTATTGTTCTTGCAGCATTCACATATTTGGAGACAGTGATTGAAAGCACTACAGAATGAGAGGTCCTGGGAGGAGGATCTTGGCATGAATCTACTTTTCCTTGAAGCTGTTGTGACCTTTCTTTGGGTTGTCATGCCCTGCAGTATTTATTATGAGGCTGAAATGGGTTAAAAAAAAAATAGTTCCTCTGAGAAGTCCCTGAACCTGGAGTTACAGTGCTACTTAAGTGTTCACCCTGCCAAAGGACTGGCTGAGCCACTGGGGAGTGGAGGTCACTGGCAATGTTCATAGGAAGTGGCACCCTCTGCCCCCAGGCACATTGACAGCAGCAGCCACTGGGGTGCTGCTCCCACTCAGAGGCTGTCTGTCTGGTTTAACTGGACTCTCCTCAGACTTCCTGGCCAAGTGTGTTTTTCCCATGCTGCACTGTAAACCCAATTGTACCAGGGTGTTCTGCAGAAGGTTCTTCACACTTGCAATGAACCCATCCATAGCCCTTTCTTTCTAAAGTCGTTGAATTTGAAGGTATCGCTATACAATGGGAAAACAATGGAAATGCCTTGAAACTGTGTGTGCAAGATGATGCAGCTTTACTGTCTTTATACAAAGGGCCAGACTCTCTTTCTCTCTCTACTTGAAGTGAAAAGATATTTCAACTAGATGCAGCTGGGATTTCATAGCATGTTAGTAAGTGGCCTAAGGGGCTTCATTCTCTTTCTGGTGCAATTGAAGGAATCACTTGAATAGTTTTATCTTCTTTGCAATACCATAAAAAGGGGAAAACAGACTTATGTACCGAGGATGAGGCTATAACGCACTATTTTAATACAGTATTGTTCTTTGAGGAATGGATCTTACTTCCCTTCAGTTGGCTAAAGGGTAGTTTATCCTAACCCAGCCTCTAATAGATTACAACTGTCTGAAGTAGAGAGGATAGGTTTCACTCAAGGGCTCCTACTAACAGCTGGGTGTCCGGCGGAACATATATCTGCACTTTAAAGGTTTATCTGTGTCAATGGCGGCTGTTGAAGGGCCCAGGACTGGGGTTACTGCAGGTCAGCAGGGCATGTGTATCAAAAACATCTTCCATGAGGGATGGAGTTGGTTCCATTAAAACAGATTAGTAGCCTTCAGTGGAAGCAGCACTTGAGTGGCCGGTGCTGCCTGTGTGTCTGGAAAGAAGGGGGTCCCACTCTCCATGAACATTGCCATCTCCACAAGTCCTCAAACTGAAGGGCCTTTGTGTGAAACTCAAGGAATGCTCAAATCGTTTCTTCCTTTCAGGAGCTTTACCACCAGTCCTATGATTGTGTCTGTGTCATGTTCGCTTCCATTCCGGACTTCAAGGAATTCTACACAGAATCGGATGTGAACAAGGAGGGCCTGGAATGCCTTCGGCTCCTGAATGAGATCATTGCTGACTTTGATGATGTAAGTGCTGAGACTTCCCTGAAGAGCGGGGATGTCCCAACCCCGTGGTGTATGCTTCCTACACGGTTGAAATTAGTTCAGGACAGGGACACGCCTTCAGGCTTACCCTTCCTAACTCTTTCTTTTTTCTTTTTTTAGTTTCTCTTCCTTTCTCTACTTCCAGTCTCTCCCCTCAACCCCACTCTGTTCCTACCCTCAATCCACACTCCTTCTCCATTTCTGTTTGGGAAAAGGTGGGTCTCCCATGAGTATCAACAAAGCATGGCATATCAAGTTGCAGAAAGACTAAGCACCTACCCATGTATTAAGGCTGGACAAGGTGACCCAGTATAAGGAGTAGCTAACCTGGGCTCACAGGGGCTCACTCACAGAGACTGAGCCAACGACAAAGGAGCTTCCATAGACTGACCTAGGCATGCTGCATATATGTTACAGTTGTGTAGCTTGGTACTCTTGTGGGACTCCAAACAATAAAAACAGGGGCTGTCTCCAACTCTTTTACAGGCTTTTGGAACTACCGAACTCTTGGTGGTTTGACAATTCTGTATCTTGCTCACTGGATAATGGGGGAAGGGCAAGTATATTTTATTTTAAAGCTAATATTCCTGCAGGGGACAGTTACTAACATCTCCATCTAATTCATTAATAAGACTTTTAGAAAGGTTTAACCTCCAGGAAAAATACTTGCCCAGCCCTTTACATGCTAAAATATAATCAATCTATTTATTGCAGCAGATTATTGGCATCACTGCCTATTTCAAAGTCTCTGGCAGACACCAAATCTAGCTGTATATGAATGGCATACTTTATTGTTGACAAAGCAATACATATGTGGGTAATACATCAGCTTCCAGAGGGGACATGGCATATATTTTAGACTTAGAAATAGGTATCATTTTTCAACTTGTAATATTCTATCTATTAGAAAATAATATGCCCAATTTTCTGGCAAGAAAGAAAAGCTCACACCTGTGATTTAGAGGCCATTGCAGCTTCACTGTTCTTATCAATATTATAGAAAATAGAAGACATTTGTTACCTGTGAGTGTGTGCTCATCCTCACTCACAAAGCTTTGAAATACATGAGGACATTGTGTAGCATGGCAGTTTCAGAGCTGTGCAGTTCCTAGTGTCTTCTGTATCCTGTGTCTTTCCCCTCCCCCATCTCCACTGTGAGTTTCCTCTGGATGTTCATGGAGGAGTCATGACAATCAAAGACTTCTGCTCTTATACCGTGTGTAGAGCGAAAAGCAGGGGCATGTTAGCTCCGGCTTGCCTGCAGCAAGATGCGGTCTTCCCAGTATTGACAAGTGAGTGGCAGCAGCTGTGTGGATATGTGACACCAGGATTTTCTCACATACTTTAAGTGTTTTGGCATTAAGCCTGGAAGAATATTCTCTGAATAGCAGAGTACCGAGAAGGCAGCAAGAAAATGCTCCTGATCTTTGGTGGGTGCTGTTCATTGAGCCCACCCTCCTGATGTAGGCCCTCCATAGTCTCCTCCCATCCCTACGATTCCCACAGCTTCTGTGTAGCTTCAGCCTTCCCTCCATACCAGAATGAGGGTGAATCAGAAGCCTTTAACTGGTACTGAGATAGAAATCTTAGTTTGGGGTGAGGTTTTTAGTTGGGGTCTTTATTCTCCTGGCCTCAGATGCTCAGCTGTCAAAAACTTACAGACCCTGCAGGGAGGACCTTACACATTGCATCAGTGTTGTATCAGTGCCTTTTACATGTGAGGCTGGGGATTTACTTGCACTCTGTTTCTTGCATCATAGTTTATACTGATTCTTTCCCTAAGTTTGACAGGTAATTGGTGTGTATCGTATCACAAACACCTAATTGTGTTCTCTTCCCCTCCAAGGTGATATGCTTATGAAATACATAAAATTTCTGCTCCCAGCATGTTCAGGTGGAAGGGTGTCATGCCCTTTATTGTTGTCTAGGATCCAAAAATTGCTCTATAGAGCCTGGGATTCAGGTCAGCGCCTGGATGAGTAACAGTAATTGTCATTGCTCTGCAGCTGCTTTCCAAGCCAAAGTTCAGTGGTGTTGAAAAGATCAAGACCATCGGTAGCACATACATGGCAGCCACGGGTCTGAGTGCTGTACCAAGCCAGGAGCATGCCCAGGTAGGTACACACATGTCAACTACCTAATGATGCATGGCTGTGTCACTGAGTCATCCTGTAACCAAAACAGATATGCGGGGACTCAGAACTCTACTGTGTGTATTGGCCAAAGTTGAATGTTCATAGTCCTAGGAAAATAAAAGGGGGGGGGAGTTCTGGAGACTTCTTAGAGTTCTCTGATTCTGAAGAGAAGATGAAACAGTCAATAGTTGATTGATATCAGATAGACATATTTAAGGCTGAGTTCTCCAAAGTCTCTCAGTCTCTGCACATTGTACAGTTATGGGTCTCTTCATTAATTCCTATCTACTACAAAACAAAGCTTTTTGGATGAGGGTTGAGAATGCTCACCCTATGGGTATAGCAATATGTCATTAGGAGTCATTTTATTGTTATGTTCCTTTAGCAGAATAATAGTAATAGGTTTTCCCCTAGACCCATGACATTTGAGAATTTTCAGTCAGCCAGGAGTTGAGTTTTTTTTTCTTACTCTGTTTTGTTTCTGTATTAATGTAGACATATTTGTGCAACTTGTTGGATTCCTAGAAGGGATCAATAAGTAAGATTCCCACATTATCAGGAGAGCAGACATCTTGAGTGGCACTCAGCATAGTTTTACACAGAGCTGGCTCTGTGATGGCTTTGTGCACAAAGGAATGGGACTCATCAGAACAGTCTCCTGAAAGCAAGGGGAATTCACAGACAGGAAGGGCTGAGTCCCACATTCTCAGTTCACCCACACCTCCATCAGAAGAACTGAGAGACAACCCCGATAAAGCAAATCCTCCCAAAATATCAGGAGATGTCTGTTCCCATCCCAACATTCACAAGCAGGTATAGGGGTTCTGACTCAAGAGGTATCCTAGGGTTTCTATATCTTTGCTGAAACACCATGACTAAAAATAGCTTGGGGAAGAAAATGGTTTGTTTCATCTTAAAGTTTGTAATCCTTCATCTAGGGAAGTCAGGTCAAGACCAAGGCAGGAACCTCGAGGCAGTAACTGATGCAGAGGCCATGGTAGAGTTCTGTTTAGTGGTTTGCTTAGCCCACTTTCTTATACCAACCAGAACTACCTGATTGGGAATGACACTACCCACAGCAATCTGGATCTTCCCACATGACTCATCAATGAAGAAAATGCCCCCACATATTTGTCTAGAGGCCAATCTCATTGAGGCATTTTCTTAGTTGAGAGTTCCTCTTCCCAAATGAAGAGGCATGTTGACAAAAACAAAACTAACCAGCTGTATTACTTACTTTTCTATTCTGTGAATAGACACTTTCCTTTCTTATAAAGGAAAGCATTCAACTAGGGGCTTGCTTACAGCTTTAGAGGTTAAGTCTATGACCATCATGGCGGAGATGGTGGCAACAGGCCAGCAGCATGGGTGCTGGAGCAGGAGCTGAGAATTTATGTGCTAAAACAACAACCATGAGGCAGAGAAAGAAAGAGAGAGCCAACTGGAATGGCATGGCCTTTTGAAACCTCAAAGCCTACTCTTATCTGTACTCCAACAAGGCCTCACTCCTAATACTTCTCAAACATTTCCACCAACTGGGCACCAGGCATTCAAGCATATGAATTGTGGGGTTATTGTCATTCAAAGCACCACACCAGCACAAGAAGTGACTCAGATTATCTGAGTGGATGGGTCATGTGTCCTCCTCTTCAGTTGATTTCTTTCAGACAATTATTCTAATGACTGTACTGATAGATCAGTGGGAGAAAGAAGGAGGAGTAGCAGTAAAAGAAACCTAATCAATTCCTACTCTTGGACTCTCAGTAGTTACCTCCCAAGCCAGCTTAGAGCCTGAGGCAAACACAATGTAGCCCTGTGGATAGTCTTGCATATTTTTAATAGTTTGCATTTTCTCACGTAACAGTAATGTGTTGAAGTAAAAAAAAAAATGTAAAGTAGAGGTTTTAAGATGCAGCACTGTTTAAAAGTGTCTCATTTATAACTGAAGCAGAACTCATTATAAGTTTTTACTTTCTGTTTTAGTAGAAACAAACAGACGTTGCCAATGCCTTTAATGACCTGGAAAACCTTAGCTACTAAATGTAAAGTGAAAATCCTAATGTGTGGACAGGCAATCTTCCTTTGCCTCGGGCACTGAGATGCCCAGCATAGCACTGTCAGAACCCATCTGTCTTGGTCCTCATGGCCTGACACAACTGAGCACCACAGATGGAGGCCAGGAAACCAAAAGTAGAGGTTTTGGGTATCCAGTGAGGACTGTCAACAGTCCTGAGATAAAATGATAAACTCTCTGGAACATTCCACAGAGAGAAACTGGCAAAGAGCAACCACAGACTCGACAAAGTTTATAAGGAGAATGAGAGATGAAGAGGGGGCTGCAGACCAGGCATCTTGTCTGTTTGCCTTGTCTGCCTTGTCTGTCTATCTGTCTGTCTGTCTGGGTTCTACACAGCTGCCTAACACTGCCTTAACCTCTGCTTCTCTTCTGCCCTTGCTTGATGCTTCCCACCTGCTGTGTTCACACCTGAGCCTGAGTGTGAACACCACCATCAGGCATCTCAGCTTCTTGTTAGCCTTAGCCACTCACTCTCTGCTTAGAGCCCTGTTCCTCTCCCCTCATGAACTATATCCCTGAACATGTCCTCCTATGCCTGCTCTGGATTCTGCCTTCTGAGCAGGCACTGTAGTTCACCAGTGATGGTTTTCAGCATGGACAGAAGACAGCTGGCTTTCTGCATCTGTCTCCTTACAAAAAAACAGATAACCCTTTTTCATAAGACTCTTGGGAAGATGACATTTATATTCATAATATTTAATAGACTCCATGGTCTTCATGGGCAATAAAAGTGCTAATAATAGTAATACAGACAGTTTCCCATAATGTTGTCATTGTCCTCTCTGTTAGAACTGGGATAAGAGCTTTGGGGGCATTAATGAAATATTATATGCCATCATATCCATGCAGGAAATTTCTACCCAATGCAAGCCATTTGTGATTACAGACTTTAATTAGAGTCTCAAAGGTAATACAATGATGGCTTTTGTGAAATGCAAAGTTCATTGCATTTTGTGAGGTAAAATATGGAATTCTTGATAAATGTGAACACTAATGGTAGTTATTTTTTCTTTTAAAAAAAATGGGTGACATGACTCTAAAATGTGCTTAATACTGTTTCTAAAGTTAAAAGCAAAATATATTAATGTGACCAAATATTTAGTTTACACAGCCCAACATTCAATTTGCAAAATATGTAGACTTTTTCAAGAATTAATTGGATTTTCTTGAATCCAAAAAGAAGCAAAATTCCCTGAGTTATGGCCATTTGGAATTTAGCTTTTATTTAAAATTGCCTCTGCATTGTCTCTTTGCAGAACTACATCCTTATCTACCCACCGATTACATGCAAAGGGACCTGTCAGCACTCAGTTGGGCCAGGTTTTAGTACCAGCCCCCACTTGGCTTTATTTGTGTTTTTAAAATGAACAGGAAATTCTCATTTTAAGCACTAAAACAATGTGACTAGAAGATTGCATTACCTTTAAGAGTTGACTGGTTTTTTAAGAGAAGTGGGCATTTGCCAAGAGAGCCAACACTCCAAAGAACAGGCTTCAATTCCAGCCTGCTCCATCATTCTGTGACTCACGCCCTGATGACCAAATGTCCTCTGAGGAAGTCTTATCAGGATGTTCAAACTGGGAGCTTGCCCATCTCCACGGCCCCTAGTTTTACCCTTGTGACCTCAGTCTCCTCCAAGCCCTGTCCTTGAGAGCCATGGTGATTCCTTTCCTTGGCCTGCAGTAGACAACTGGCACTTCAGGGGTAATTTGCTTGACTTGTAAAGAGTGTTGCCTTTTTGAAAACCATTTCACTGAAGAGTGGTCATTCCAACTCATCGTCGTTTCTGATGACAGTGAACAGCAGGAGCAGACGTGGTTTGTTCTCCCGTGTGGCCCTCTACTGCTCTGCACAGCTTTCCTTGATCCACATCCCCAGGCCCCACTGACTGCAAAGGAAGCCCCTGCTTTATCCCTCCTCAGTGCCCCTCAGCGTTATCCCTGGTGGCAACTACTTGACTAGTTTTAATCTCTTCCCCACCAATTCTACCAGGAACTTAAAGACAGTGCACAAGGAAGAAAACTCGGTTAACCCTATGTCTGTGACCTCCTGTTGTAATGATTCATAATTACGAATAGCTCAACGCCCCCTGCTAACAACATTTTGAAAGAGGTAACATCCGGTGCTGGAACAAATCTGGGAGGGGAGAGCAGAGAAAGAGAGATAGGGGCTTCCTGTTTGATGAGGGTGCAAGCACCGGCTGCTTGTTTTGCATTTCACATTGGCATCCATGCTTAATGATTTTAATTTTAAAATGTGCAACTTGAATATTATTTAAAATAAATTCATTTGCTTACTGTATGTGAACAAAGCAAGCATCAGGGCTTAGGTCTGAGGCTTGGTTAGGACCAGTTAGACTGTAGATGGACCTCTAGCTCCATCCAGCACCTGCAAAGCACACGCTTCTCCTCTTTCTGTATTCTCCACCATCGCCACAAGTCAGGCTCAGCCTCCATGTGAGCCCTGAAAACTCTGCACCCACTCATCCAGGGCATCACTAACTGTAGCTTGATGGAGGATCGGAGGACTGGACACACTTTCATTCAACCTCCACCACTCCTTAAAAGCCCAAGTTAGGAGCCACCCAGTGTGGCCACCAGGAATCTTATGTAACCTGTTGGTTACCCAGTGGATGATTTCTTTTCCACTGTGGCCAGTCCAAGGGCCTTGGATCCACTGGTAGAATGGAGAGGCCTCTAGGTGTCTGCTGAGATCTACTACAAAGTCACAGGAGCCAAACCACCCACTGCACCTAATAGCCCCACTTTCCTTTACTGGTAAGAGCAGAGGGAAGCTTCACTCTCTTCTTAAATGAGGTTTTCCTGTAAAAACACCACAGCTTTCTTGACATGTGATAGGAAGACAGCAATCTCCTTCTGCTTCTGTGTTGTTAAAAGGGACC